GTAGTAGTAGTAGTAGTAGTAGTAGTAGTAGTAGTAGTAGTAGTAGTAGTAGTAGTAGTAGTAGTAGTAGTAGTAGTAGTAGTAGTAGTAGTAGTAGTAGTAGTAGTAGTAGTAGTAGTAGTAGTAGTTTTATGTTTTGTGTTTTTCTTCCTATTTTTCCTGCTTTTCGTGTTTGCAGGTCGTTCAGGTTCCCAGGTGTTTCATCCTAGTTCGTGCCACCAGGCAGCAAAGGATTAAGTTTCTAGCTCGGGAAAGACCCGAAAGATGCTAGTCGAGAGCTCACGAGCCCAGAAAACCAAAAATCGGAAGCTGCCCAGACCCTATCACCGCTAAGGGTGTGAAAACTAGCGGCGGTTTGGCTTAGCGAGGTGCTAGCGACGCCAGAGACTTCACAGCAAAAAAAAAAAGGGGTTAGCGCCGCTAAGGTCTATTTTTAACTAATCGCGTTTTTTGTGGGTCTTGAATTGGGAAGGCTACTAGTTCGAACCTAGGGCATATTTTCAGTACTCTGAGACTTTGAACTCATTTTTTCTTCATGGCAAAACATATTTCTCTCATCTTTTCTCTTAGTTTTGATCTGGGATAGTGAAAACTCCAAGATTTTACCCTTGCATTTGGATTGCTCGTTGTTTTTCGACATTGGATTTGTTATTAATCGTAAGCTTCTCTTTCATTTCATTGATGAATGTTATGGCTTTGCTTGATATGAATGTTGATGTTGAATTTGTGATGAGTAGCTAATTCCTTCTGCTAGGGATAGGGGATGATTATTCTTGTTTGATTCGTATTTGTCGGGCTTGATTTGTTCATGCTTATGTGAGTTGATATAATTCAGAATTGATGAATTTGTGCTTGATTGATTGATATAATCGAAGAGTGACACTTCGATCTTGCGATTGGAAATAATTGAATGTTAATTTGTCGAGTTAGGGTTTGTCAATTCTATATGATTAGTTGATTAATCACCTTCTAGTTAATTAGCGACTTTTAGAACCGATAGGGGAGAAGTCGTAGACCTAGGCTTGCATGAGATAGATAATTTCGTAACTGAATAATCTATGGGTTGAGATTGAAATATGTGCTTGTCAATGACCCGTCCCTTGTTACGAAAAGTTATTGGGATTGGGATAATTGGCTTGTGTTGTATGCCCGAGCTTGTTCGTCTATGTTCAATCCCTTGTTACGAAGAGTTATTGGGAATGAACCGCTAGATGTTTAAGCGAGAGTGTCAATCTCGAACCGAACAATTGATTGCCCGGTTTTTGCTAAGAACTTGAATAAATTATCCCCGATTCCCTAGCTTTTCCATCTTTGTTCCGTTTATATTTTTAGGTAGATTATTGTTTTATTTTATTTCTTAGTTAATAATTCATCCAATCTGCCATCTGATTAGTGTGTTTAGGATTTATTTTCTTTTTGTGTGAAATCAATACCGAAGCAGAATTCCGAACCGCCTTCCTTGAGAGATCGACCCGGGGAACGAATCCTTCGATTCGGTACTCGGTAAAAATAATAATTTGTGCTACAACACAGTGCCTTGAATCCATGCAGTTCAAATCTATTTAAAATTGAAACAAAAGTATTTGTTAGACCACAACATTAATTCAGAAGGTATTGTATGTCTTACGAATAATAAGCTTACGTTGCGCTCAGGATCTATTAATGTTTGGAGAGTGATAATCCTATCAGGCATTGGAGGGAGCAACAATGCGGAAATATCCTTATAAGCTCCGGCAAATATCAACTGTCCAATCTCAACCTTGTTGGTAATGTACCTTGTGGAAACAACATAAGACTTAAACTCAGGGCTTTGAATTAGTACAATGCTGAATAGAATGAAACAATGAATTAGTAGCCCTCTTACCACTGTTTAAGTGTTGTGACTTCAGGCAAAGGTGGATTTATCATAATAGCGCTTTGAGCCCGAGTGGACAGTGAAATGCCTGCCATGCAACAAAAAATTAAGGTATTGTCTAATAAAGTGGCAAAGTTGTTACACAACAGTCAAACATTAAGGTACCATTATAAGTTGTCACCCTAACACGCATGGCGAGAATGACATTGCCGACATTAATGGCAGTAGCAAGTTGAGCACCTTCGGTAGTGGCAAAATCATTCCATAGTGTTAACATGATTGGCATATTCCTACACAGGTAAAAAATGTTGTTACTTTGCACCATAGTATCTTAATATTACATGTTCAAATTTAAACAAACAGTACTTTAAACTTACTCTTCATTAACAATCAAAATATCTCTATTGACCGAATCAAACCCAATCTGCTTCTCTTCAAACGCGTATGCCACAACACCAAGAACATCTACAAAGAAAAAAAAAATAATGCTAATTGTATGAAATTGAATAAAAAAACTCAAACAATTAAGCATCGGCTAATCAACAATGTATTCATTAGGAAAGCCACTTACTTTGTAGGTTATCTGTATCAGCAAAACGATGTAGATTGCGAATTGTTGCAATTCAATGTGGCCGTACATCTGAGGCACAATCTGTTCTTCACATGGCTGGATTAATGTGGTGTTAGTGATGGTCCAAGAGAACTCATAGTCCCCAACCCGGTATTTCTCATCAACCCTCTTCAAGGTAGCTCCAGAAACATAGTATCTTTTAAACGGCAGCAAGAGCGTTGAAGATGGCCTTATGTTGTTGTTGTACGCCACAGCCGATACTTTTGTCCCCTAGTTTGTTTCCATAATAAAAAAAATATATAAACAAAGAAGATAATGTTCTTTTACTTAAATGGTGAGTCCAAGTGTATTAGCTGTGCTAAGTAGTAACTCACCTCCACATCAACAAATAGAAACTTGCGGTAGGAGACAGTTGGGTCCTTCTGACTCACAAGTATATGACCCCGTTCGACGACTTGTATCAATGCGACTTCTTGTATCAATGCCGTCCACCCTCTAACATCCGGCTGCACCTTTGCAATTGACAATATGTTCTTCATGATTGCCTGAAAATGATATTAAATCTGAGTTAGTAAAGAAAAATAAAACACTATCACTATTTGTAAAAATTGAATGCTTTGTGATTGAGGTCTTCTAAAAATAATTAATGGGCTGGTACTTACACTTTGTATGTTTATAACTTGGGATGATTTGCTGGGGTTGCTGAAGTTGGAGGATGAGTATATATAGAGGAACTGAACTATCCTATGAACAACAAATATGCACAAATAGATTGTTGCTATGCTATGTAGGTCTTCATTAGTAAATATCTTTAAAGATTTGTCATATCTAAGGCACCACACTGCAATATCTATCTTACGTAATGTTTTGACAGATAGCAAGTCTATTTTTTTTTTCTAGCCTACACTGGTAAATCACGAGCAGTTCAGTGTAATCATTTTAAAAGCATTGCAGCACAATCAAAGTTTTTTATCATTAAAACAGGTTGTATACGGTAACATCAGCTGAAGAGAAAAAAAATGATAATAATTTGAAAATAGAAAAGCATATAAGGGTAAATTATACAGAAATAGGGCATGGACAGCAAAATTTGTGTTGCTCGGTTATAATTTCCTTAATTGTTGTAAAATTTCAATACATACATATACATATATATAAAACAGAAAACTCACGTTAAGTAGGACGCCAATTATGTGCATACGGCAACACCGTGTAGGTAGCCCCTAAATCAGGATCTACCCTTAGCCGTCGGCTCTAGCTAATATCCCGGCAGTATATTCGATCAGAAGCACCCGTTCCTTTCCGCATATCCCGCAACCAACAACCATATCTGAAAGATTGCGCCGTTGATTTGATTTTTTCATCCTTTGACCGCTCTACTGATAAGGAACCGCCCTTGTTGTTAACCCCAAATCTGCTTTAAAAATGAATGGGTTTATTTGTGCGAGAATTGTGGGGCACATTAAACCTAAATTTATCTGATTTATTCACTGTAAACTTAACTGAGTTTTGCTATTTTTTTAAATGGTCAGAGCAATAAAATTAAGTGGGCTAATGGGCTGCACACCAAATCTAATTAATTACTTCTAGTTGTCTTTGAATTTAAGTATAGAAACATTTTTTTTTTTGTCTATATGTAAATTATTAGTAGGTCATGTTCTAAAAACTCAATGCAATTATTAAATAAACGACTTTAAAAATTTATCTCCAATACAAAACATATTTGTCCTAAATAATCAGTCACTTTGTACCTTTTTTATAAATTTAATTTAGAGAACATAAATCGTTTTAGTGGAAATATTTTTTCCTAACCATTATTTCATATAATTACTTAAAAATTTAATTAATTACTTCTAGTTGTCTTTGAATTTAAGTATAGAAGCATATTTTTTTTGTCTATATGTAAATTAGTAGGTCATGTTCTAAAAACTCAATGCAATTATTAAATAAACGACTTTAAAATATTTACCTCAAATATAAAACACATTTGTCCTAAATAATCAGTCAATTTGTACTTCTTTTATAACTTTAATTTAGAGAACATAAATCGTTTTACTGGAAATGTTTTTTCCTAATCATTATTTCATATAATTAATTAAAATAATTAGGGCATGCCCAACATCCTACTTTATTATATAATCTAAGTTCAATAAGATTTTACGCAACCCATGAAAAAGTATGCCTAATTGTTTCTCGCATATATTTTTTTGTAGACCCAAATATCCAAGTACAAAACTATAATGTTTTTTTTAATGAAAAGTTAAACCGTCTGAGAAAAAATCTTGATTTAGTCAAGCATGAAGAAAACATTATAAATACAAATGTTGTGATAGTACCAATTTATGTTTTTCGCACATCACAAACCATTTGAAAAATTAGACTTTACATGGTATATATAACATTTCTAATTATTTTGTGTTGTTATTAAAAGGGCATAAAAACTTTAAAACACATCATAATGGTTTAGACGGTGCAGCGCTAGATGATATGGTGCAATTTTTGTATGCATTACGTGCTCAAACACCTGTTGTGTAATATTCCCAACTTATAATTTCTAATATCTGTAGTAAAAAGACCATGAGAACACATAACAATAAATTACATTGCATGTATATGTTGTAAATTCAATTAAATGATTACAAATGGTAAAAATGATTTGTAAACACAGAAACTAATAATTACAAATCATCTAAGTCCAACAATTTCACAAAAAAAGAAAACTCATTAACATAGAAAGTATTTTTTTTTTTTTTTGTTTCTTGATTTTAGTGTCTTTATTTTAATGATTAAGAGCGCATATTGAAGGGGATAATAACATCCATAATAATATTGGATTCTATGCGGAACTCCCACTGAACCAAAAACCTTAGGCTCAATTTGTGATCACAAAAATTTTACACTGTTTTTTTTTCGATGCACGCCAATTTTATTTTGTTGTATATTTTCCATGTGGCAACCTGTTTTCTAGTTTTTTATGGCCATAGGAGAATGGGGACCTATGTATTGTGGTTTGTATTCTACATATTTGAGCTGCTAGTAACATACAACATCCTTGTTTTTTCAGTCAAACGATCACAACAACATACTGAACCACATAAATCCATTGGCTGGGTATACTCTCACCATCAAAAGAATAACAAGAACAAAGGCAACAAATAAAAAAATGCTTAAAAATTCAACCTAATATGCCATGTAAGCAAACACACATATTTATATGCACCAAGTTTGACTGGGTAATTTTACATAACAAAAGAGGCAACGGTCTGTGCCAATTACAAAACATAGTTGTTGCAGGCTACATACATAGCTGATATGTGCTCTAAATCTCATAATCTCTCAGGCATTTAAATATATAAAATGGGCAATTAATTCTTAGATTAATACACTGAAAATTTCCAAAGGATAATAAGCAGCCTAGATAACAACAAGTACACACAAAGTGAACATGATTTATATTACTTTTTAATTGACCAGCCAAAATAAATAAGGACTGCAGTGTGGCGTCAAGCCACTGCACGGGGTTTCTTTACTGGGCTGGGAGATATAGCCCCTTCCTGTGAATCCTTTTTTCCATGCGCAGAGTCACACACATTTATTTCTGGCAGTTCAGCTGTAGAAGGTCCATCTTCAACAAAGGCGAGAGGCGTTTGACCGACATGTCGCGTTTAAGGCAGCATGGCTTAGTCACGGATGCAACACCACTTTCTTTGAAATAGTGGTCGGCGGTAGGAGTGAACACTTGAGACTCAACATCCTGTTTCATTTGTGTACATTAAGTGTAAGTATTCTATTCATGTTTGCACTATTAAAATAGCATTGAAAAATTAAGGAATTTAGTATTCTATATTAACCTGAGACTGTTTAGGTGATTCCTCAATGGCCTCTTCATTTCCATGGGGATTAAACAACACCTCTACATCTGTATCTTTGTACAACGTCACGACCAAGTAATTTGGGCCATTAGCTTGAAAGGTCCTCACAAAAGCAATCACATGTTGCCCATTGATTTTTTGCGCACCTGATCTACCAGACTTTCACCCTGAAACAAATTAGGTCAGTATTAAATGTGTCGTAACAACATGTGTATTAATAATATTTTTTTATTTTTTTTACACAACAAATTATGCATAATATTTTGTTAAACAAATAAATATGCATAAACTGACGTCAAGAGTTATAGGTTAAACAAATTGTTATTGACAGAATTAACAAAGAAGATGAACCCAGACAACAAATAATAATTAAATAAACAAACATGATAAGAGTAAAATAAAGACTATTGCATTGAACAATAAGATATTAACAGAAGTTAAAAGGCAATAGTAACAACAATTTGAGATAAGTATATAGATTCCACAAACATTGGCAGGAAAAAGACAGAAGAATCATCATGTGTGCAACCATAATATAATCACGATTTAGCCGTTGAACACATGACACTGCATAACATCATCCAAGAATGGTGCTAAATCCAGCAAATATGACACATTCAAGAGACATCTATGACAGTTGGCAAGCAATCATATTCAAACTATTTGTGCAGCCTGCAAAACCTCAGTATATACAATATACTTTGTCCAGTTTAGCTTCTGTGCATAAAAAAAGGTGGTTTTATAAGCATTTTTATATCTTTCGACGTTTTTGCACGGGATAATGCCACATAAAGCTGTTCGTGAGAAAAAACTGGCTCCCTCAAATAAATTCCCACAGAATCAAGCGTTTGGCCTTATGCCTTATTTATGGTCATTGCAAAACATAGGCGGAGTGGAAATTGGGTGCGCGTGTAAGGAACAGGATATTGCTCATCTTTAGGTGGCTCTAGAGGTATTCTATGTATGAAAACATTTTTCCCATAAAAGTCTCCTACTGCTATCTGTGCATGAATTACATATTTGTTCAGTTGCTTGCAAATAAGCCGTGTACCGTTACAAAGTCCCACTGTTGGATCGAGATTGCGCAGTAAAACGACAGGGGAATTTATCTTTAACTGGAGCTTATGTTCCGGTAATCCGCTGGGTGTGAGGGAAGTTATGAGATCTCCATATTCTGCCTCATGAGCTGGGTTTACAACTTTATCAAAGCTTAAGTATTCAACCAAATCACCTGGGAATTGTGCAATAAGCCTACGATTCACCTCGTCCACAAAACTATTTTTAGTTGTCAAAATTGCCCTGTTTGTGAAAAGATTAGCTTCACCTAGGCACATTAAATTTGGGTATATCAAGTTAATTAGCTCGTCCAAAGCTGTGTCTGCAAGCGGGTCTGTTAGTGTAATTGCGGTGGGCATCTTTATTAGACCATCCACAGAGATTCTCTCTTGGCCATTCCCCACCCTCAACAAAAAAGAGGTGAACAAAGGGTCCAAACGCGCGCGCATATTTTTTGTGAGTTTCAACTTTTCTAGTAAAGGCCACAGGTGAGAACTTGTTATACATGCATCTATAGTTTCTTCTTTACTACCCCTCCGCACAACGGGAAGAACCTGTCTAAAGTCGCCACCAAAAACCATAATTTTTCCACCAAAAATGCAGTTAGGATCACACAAATCTTGTAAAGCAAGATCCAGTGCTTCAATGGTATCCCTTTTAGCCATGGGTGCCTCATCCCACACAATTAACTGACTCTCACGGATCAAAGACCCTAAACTGCTTTGTTTACTAATGTTACACGATTTATAATCAGAAAGGTCAATCGGTATTTTAAATTTGGAATGAGCAGTCCTACCACGAGGGAGTATAGATGCAGCAATGCCCGATGTTGCAGTTGCCAAAGCTATACCACCCCCGGCCCTAACGGCTGCTAGCAAAGCTCTATATAAAAATGATTTCCCCGTCCCCCTTGGTCCATCCACAAAAAAGCACCTTTTTTTTTTATTAATGCGCGCCATTATTGTATCAAATGCTTTTTTTTGGGCCGAGTTGAGCAATTTAACAGTGTTGAGCTCTTCTTCAGATACAATTATACTTTTCTCAGCAACGACCTCACGCGTATTCAATTCATTTGCAATATCTAAATGAGCAGGCACTAAATTGAAAGAACTTATTTTTTTGCCCATAGATTCTAAAAAACCATTTATTTGGCTTAGAACTTTGAGTTTTATTTGGTCAGGTGTTAAATGTGATTGGCGAGCAAAATCTTCTAATAATGCATCTTCAAATTTTTCAAAAAGTTCTCTTGGCTTGTGCGGACAATTATAAACTAACAAATTGGAGAACAACCTACGCAACTCATAAGGCATTTGATACTGACAAGCTTCTTGCAAACATACCTCTTGGCTGTTGTCGTCCTCTAGCAAACCACGAACGAGCGCAGCCTCCCGAAACGACGCAACATGCTTGCCTTGGAAAAAAAGAAGATCATCGTATGATTTAGGACAGCGGACCTTCAATAAAAGCAATCTAAGATAGTACCTTTCTCCCTCACTAATGTGCACAGTAACCAATCTACCTACACAATCGCGCTGCGACCTTTTTTTTCAACGTTTTTCAGTCGACAACCAAACAAAATACTTAGGAAATTCAAGGTACGTTAGGTTCATTTCCTGTGCATACTCATCCGTATCATTCATAAAAAAAAAATTCAGTGAGCATTGTTTTTTTATTTTGCGGATTATTTACAACCCTATGCAACCTATCCTTTTTCCTAAATGAAATCCGATGATAATTCTTCAGATGAACTTGCAAATGAATAACAGATGGTTTGATGTCACCCATAGGAAACCTATATATCCTCCAGGTTGCTTCCGGGGGCGATATCCAGCGGGCAGTTCGATACTGCTCTATTTCATCAATTTCTTGAGACGGTTGTCCTGCATCCACATGAAAGGCAATTTTGTCATATCCTTTACAAATATACTTATATATATACTTAACAGCTTGCACAGTAGAGCAAACCTCAACATTGATATGGCACTTAAACTTTGCAAGAAGGTACGCATTGTAAGGTATAGACCACCTATTATCTAATTTGTGCCCCCTTACCTTGACACAAATGCCATTATCCCTACGCCTATATTGAGGGTAAGCACTCTTAACATGAGTAGTTTTTTCACAAAAATCTTTTGGATAGAAATTCTTACATGAACCCATTTTCTTCATGCATGGATTCTCACGATTTAACTCTCCACAAGGGCCATGCAACATATGTTTAGTTACCATAGCATACAAATGAGGATTTATAGCACGACCCGGTATCTCAGCACACACAATCCAATTATACTCATCAGATGTGTACATTTTATATTCGGATTTAAGTATTAATAGCATGTGAGCGTGCGGTAAGCCTCTCTTTTGAAACTCAATAGTGTACGTGTATGCAGCCACCTTACCAAATACATGTTTTGTTAAAATCTCTTTTTTCAAATCCTCAAGTTTTGCATGAAAAACTCTAGCCCGGTCGATTTTGCGCCTCATCAGTTGACAACAATAAAGACTTGATTTCTGGCCATGCCGGGTTGCAGGTCATTGTAAGAAAAATATCCGGCCTACCAAAATTTTGAACCAAAGTCATTGCATCCATGTAGCAACGTTTCATATTTCTAGCCCCCCCAATAAAACCAGAAGGTAAATAAACCCTTTGGCCAACCATAGATGCGTCGATTTCCCCATTCGCCAAAGAATCCTGAACACCTGCCATGATCTCTGTTCTAATCTCTATCTGTTGTTTTTTATAGAAGTCCAGACGCTGCGACTCAATCTTAACATACATGTCAACAACATACTGTTGGAAAATCCTACCAAAATTAAGCAAGAAAGAGTCCTCACTTTCACGAACCTGCAATTTGTATGCATAATACTCCCTCATAGAAACAAAACTCGGGTCCTCATGGAAAAACGACCCAACTGTACAAAGGAAAAAAAGAAAGAAAATTTGCAGACAATAAACACATGTTTGTTTAAAAGAAGGTACATTCTTCATACCATTCTCCTCCCTATGTATTAAGTCCTCTGCATCCACAGCACAAAAGGGGGAAACTGAGCGTATAGAGTTACATGGTCCCATGCGATTGTTAGGTACAAGGGTTTTTTTTTTCTTTATACCCTCATGCCAGCCAATTTGTCCAAATGGAAAAAGTACAGGATATTGCAGCGGGTCATAACAACCAAAATAATATTGAATTTTTTTGTGCGACAAGCCACCCCTACTGTGCACTTGAATGTCACGCCTACATGTCTCTTCATTAGAACCATTATCCACCCACAGTGCAGCCACCTCAGCTTCAGTTGGCTGATTATAGATTCTTTGATCCAAGGCCGGCACGGCGCGCAAAACTATATGACAATCATCAAGATTAGAAAGATTTTCAAGCCCGCGAAAAAACTTAGCGTATGGATTGCTCTCTAGAATTTTCAAAATCTTTACAGTTATTGACTCAGTTAGACGTGGACAGGCAGCTAAACAATTGGACACCTCATGTGATGTGTCATGAAAGTATAATTGAAGATTATTTGCTGATTCTAAGTCAGAAATCAAATGGTACATCTAACCTTGAATTCTAAACGTATACACACCTCTATTACGTTTGCTTAATTCTTGATCATATTTAACCCCCAACGAAGTAAACGCAAATTGATTATTTATCGTTCTTATGCAAGTTCTAAACAGCTGCGACTCATGCGATGACAAAAACAATAAGTCCTTCAACAAATCAGGTATAGGGTGAGTCGCCAATTTTATGGCACCTTCAGAACAAGAAAAATTAACTGTTTCATATGCTATCTTTTTAGCACCGCAGTGTTGACAACAACGTTGTTCCCGCAATCTGGACGGCTCGGATGGTACTGAGCCCAACAAATGGCGCCCATCGTTCAGCCTAGAACTTGCTAATTATAGAAACACAAAAGGATTTGGATATTGCTCAATTGTTAAGAAATTTGAAATCATCAACCTATGGGCACAACAAACCTGCGGCTGGCCGCAGCACCTCTGGCACCGATGAGTTTGTAATTACACAGGAGTTGTTAGTGAAGAAACTTTAATTTCACACACCATGACCATTACAAACTTGAAATATTGCTGGATAATTATTTTTTTTAAACCAATAAGTAATGGACATAACAAACCCGCAGTGGTCGGCACAGCAGTCGCACCAACACATGTCACCTCCGCCAAAGCATCATCACTCGAAGTGGTCCTGAACAAAGGCGCACCAATTTGTGGAGGTACAGGCGACGGAGAAGAACCAGAACCTTGGCACATAGGGGATGCACGATTCTTTTTAGACCGCCATCTATTAAGGGCATCACTTCGTTGCCTTTTGTTTTGAACAGAACAGGCTGGTCGAGCAGCCCATCGTTTCCCCCCTTTCCACGCTCACGAGAGTACATCCCAGTGCACAAGATGCCGACAACCCAGCAACACAAAAAAACTGCAACACCATAAAGAAAGAAAACAAAAACATTTTACTAATACAAATAGCAAATTCGTACGCACAAATCAGCCATGCTAGATTCCAGGTCAGCATGGCAAAAAAGACATATGACAGAACTCTAAAAAGGCCACAAAGAAATCGGCGTTAGCATTAAAAACAATAAGAACACGCCACACACCAGCATATAAACGCAGCACCAAAAAGACCCAAAACCGTAAGTTTATTTAAGAGAATGAGAATAAGAAAAGGAAAAGCCATAAAAGCAGGTCACCGAAAGCTCGAAGAGCAACAAGGAGACTCGGTTGGCAGATTCCCAGCGCACCTTCAACCAAGAATTTTTGGAACTGAATGGATGAAAGGTAAATAAGAACAATTTACACATAACTATGCAATCTTCACCGCAAAATAACGACAAAAAATAAAGATCACCCACTCATATCGTCAATACCGGCGGTAGTAAAAAGAGCAAGCTAAAGAAAAATGAAAAAAAAAACAAGTTTTTTGTGAAATTAATATTGCAAGGTGAACAAAATAAATCGGACCCACCAACATCCGACCAACCAAAGCCTCACCGGCGGAAAAATCCAGCCCTTTGTCTTAGGCGATTTCTTCCATTTTCTCTGATTTTTTTTTTTCTGTTTGATGGGCTAGGGTTTGGTGAGAGAAGAGAGGGGAGAGTTTGGGATAATTTTTCTTACCCGTTCGATTGCGCCACCGCGGGAGGGCACCTGCGGCCTCGTGGATTCGTCGTAGCGGCGGAGGAGATGTTGGATAAGAGGAAAACGTGATCGTTGATCTTGAGGGATAATGGGAGCAAAAGGTAAAAACTAAAAACAAGATCGTGATTGCTTTGAGATCAATTCTCTCCCAACTATTTAAATAACAAAACTATTTGCAACAAAAAGAGAAACAAAAAAAGGGCAAGCCAAAGCAGTGGAACAAAGTCATTTTACGAAGGACATTTAGGGGCAATAATGTGAATTCACAAAAGACACGTGTTCATCTCTCAATGAATCAAACTAGTTAATATATATAAGAGAGAGATAAGAGAGATATTTAACATATACTGTATATATACTGATTATATATTGATCATATACTGTACATATATCACAGTAGACTATATATATATTTAACATATATTTGTACATATACTGATGATAAACTAAGATGTACATATACTGTACATATATTGCTTATAAAGTTTCAGATATCCTATATAATGATCAGGGAGCGACAACCGAAATGATGTTTCAGATCGCAGCCCGTCCGCCGCCAACAGGTACCCGATCGCTTTCGTCCACAATTCACGCGCCCCGGAAACCCCCAAACTCCGCCACCTTCCTGTATAATGAAGACGACAATTCACACGCGAAACAAGAGTTGATGCGTATTCCTGAATGCAAATTTATTGAGTGTTTTTTGTTCTCCAGAAATGTAAAGAGCGAAAAATGGAGGACAGTACACAAGAAACAAGTTGAGCTAAAAAGCTGTATTGCTGCTGGGGCGGGAAGAAGCATAATTTTCCCTATTTGATTTGTTTGATCGGTGCAGAGGATGGTGGTGCCGATGAAAATACGTATGGGATTTGGAGAAGAGAGAGGAGAGAGGGATGGAGGATATGAGAGAGAAACTAAATCCCATAAAATCTATTATTTACTATGTTTAAAATATATATTTAATAAAACTAAAAAGCTGATATATGCGCAAATAATTATGACAATTTTGATATGTTTGCAAATAAGTATATATTGGATGTATGTGTGTAATATAAAAAATAATGACTAGTATGAGGCACAAATTCCTCTTTTAGTTTTTCATTTCTTTCTCTTTTCTTATCATGGTATCGGCCCTAGAAGGAATAACTATCCAAGAAATAGCCCATAAAGCCCAAATCTACCGTAAGGCCCAATCTACAGTATCCAAAATATATCATCACGGTGAGATTTTGGCGCCCAGAATACTCACATCGACTGTCTAGAGAGAGAGAGTGAAAGAGAGAGAAATCAGCGTGACAGTGTGTTTTTGTGGTTGCTGAGAGAGAGAGAGAAGAAGAAGACATGGCCGACTCGTACGATCCACTGGGCTTCGACTTTGAAGACCCCATTTCAATTTCTCCACCTCCGGCTAAGAAAAAGTAAAACCCTTTTCCCTTTTCTCGTTTCTCATCATAATTTTTTATCCTAATTTTGTTGAAGGCGAGGTTTTGGTTTCATTTCCTTTTTTTTCTCTTGAAGTATCTGGCTTCAGTATGCTGTTGCTTAATTTTCTCTAACCTCGTAGGTGCACAGTTGTTTACTAAAGCGAATATTTTTGAAGTTATTGAAAATGCGTTTTGTATAGGGTTCATTTGATGCTCTCAGTATCGACGTATGCAAAGGGTTCACCTTACAATCTTAATGTTTCTGCCTTATGTTGAGAAGATTAACTCAGTATTGTACATGTTTGCTCTCCTTTTACTTTTGTTTTTCTCTTTCCTTTTTTTTTTTTTTTTTTTTTTCTATATTGAACTGTGGTTCGTTATTTGAATGCATTGGCTGCACACATATGGCTTGCTCCATATGACGATAAGTTACTGAGAAACACGACTGCCGAGCAATTGAAATTTGCTATTCTAATTTATATGTGTGCGTGTGTGTGCTATTGTGTATTGGCCAAAGTTTATACTCGTGCTTCTATGCAGCAATACGTACCAGTGGAACTGGATTTCCGTGTATTAAGTGGTTCTGTTTCAATGATAATCTATACTCTCCGCAATTTCCACATTCTCTTTGTTTGAAAGGCAATCTGGAAGTACCATGACACTATTTATTGTTCTATATATTGCTATTCAATCAATTCTCATGAGACATTTTGGTTCAAGAAATTCCGTTAGTAATTGTGCGATTATTTTATGTGTTTTTGTAAATTTTCACGTGACATCGTTTTTTGCTTAAACCACAGGAAGAAGCTCATTGGTTTGGATGACCTCTTAAAGGATTACCAGAGGGAGCAGAAGAGGCTCAATGATAATAAAGCCAAGCAAAAGAATATCCGAAAGTCTTGTGATTTAGACGATGAGGTTGATGATGTGGCAGATGTACGGTTGTCAGAATGTGTCGAAAAGTGTCAAAAGGAGGCATGAGTTATTCTTCATCGTTTATTTTCTTTTCCAGTCTTTTGATCATGAATTCATTATTTCATCCTATGTATGGTTACTCCTAAGTTGTATTAAATAATATATTTGCAGATAAATCAAATAAATGGTGATGAAGAAATGCCCTTCTGGGGCATTCAGGTTTTTGGGGAACAGGTTGTATACCGGAAACTTGATCAATTCCTCTTCCATGTCTCTACAATGTACTAACTATTGATAGGTTTTTTATTAACTTATTTGTGTTTTTTCCATGTAACCTGTGCAGCAAAAGGTGCCACAACTGGAGCATGCAGAGTTGAAAAATTCTGTTCTTCTGCAGTCTTTCTTGAATCAGAAGATCAATTCACTATTTGAAATTAATGTTGAGAAAGGTTTCAAGTTCTACCTTTGTTTGCTTCTCTAGGATTGAAATTGCTTATAAGTTTCTCAATAAAAAAAAATAAAAAGTAAAAATTAGTTAGTAAGTGCCTTTTGATTTTGTTATGCTTAAATTATATAATAATAATAGCATGAAATTACTCGTATTTTCTATTAGACATTCAAATTCAGTAATCTCTCTGACGTAAATTTGTAGAGGAAGATTTCCTTGAAGGATTGTTGGTTGATGGCTGGCTGTTTCACCTTGTATCTGCATCTGGCCATGTTGAAGAATCCATCGCAAAATGGACATTTGACTCAAGTGAGTGTAGTTGCATGTGATATCATTTTTTTAGATGCCAATTTCTATCACTCTTTCATTATTATTTTTCAGTTCTATATTCTTCAACGCCAAGGCTAATGGAAGCTGCATGTGAATTTTGGTGTGCAATTCTCTCAGTTAAAGACAAGGTCTCCCTCCCTCCCTCTCGTTCCCCCTTTTGCATGAGCATGAAATATAATCTCTGTTAATTTCTGACCCTAAAGTCTTGTTCTACGTGTTATGATGTCAAACAGGTTGATTCTTCTAGTGTCAAAATTGATTGGTTACCTAGCTATTCAGATCTAAAAATAGCTCTTAATGCGTATGGGTTTCTCATGGATTCACCTTCTAAATTTTCGTCAGAAGTTGATATGGTTAATGCTGGTAAGCATTTCAGTGCATTTTAAACCTTAGAGCTTTCTGCATACTATTGAGATGAAATGAGATCCTTAGATCTTCGACTGGATGTACATGAATTTCCATAAATTTCGACAAGTAGAAATCTGAAAACATGTAGGGTGCTTTTGATTAATCCTTTGAAGAAATCTTACATTAATGACTAGAAATTGTGGAGATCCTTCTAATCGTTGTTGTAATAAATATTTTATAAAACCTGGCGCCTTTAGCATTTTTATCAGACCATATTTTGTTCTTTCAATCCTAGATTCCATATCAGCAGGACCACCACAAAACATTCGATCATGGATAAAGTTTGTGACTTATTGTTGCCAAAGAAGGTATGTATGTAGTAGAGATGCATATAGTCTGTTACTAGAGATGCTTTTTAACTTGGTTAGATTTTAACAACTTTGATGATTTTCAATTTCTTTTCTTTCTTGTTTGCAGGGATGCTAATATTATTTTCTCAACTCGAGAAACAGAAGATTTGGTAATCACTATCATATCACTCTTTTTAGATCGTCAACTTCTGGGGCTGTCAATAGTGTTGCATGAAAGCTTGCTATCGGCAATAAATTCCTTTCAAGATGATGAATGGCCGGCCAGCTGTAAGAAAGTAGCCACATCTCTTGCTCACAGGTTACTATCTGATACTCTGTAGTTTAATGTCTAATTTTGTTGTTTTCGTTTTGCGCCCCATTGAGACCTTTAAATGTGTTGATACTTGTATGATTTTTGGCCACTGTAAAGAAGCAAAATGCAAAACACTAAGTTGGACAGCTGTTGTAATACTAACAATCTTATCATCAGAAGAACTTTTTTCATTACTGAAGGCTAGTTGTATTTAATTAGTTTTAGGTTGGGTTTCAAGCATTTTATTTTCTTAATTTTAAGGATCACTGGTCCACCAAGTACTGCCATTCTGCAATATTAGTGGTCAGATCATGATTTCTGAAATGATAAAGGCGGGCTGATTTTTATTTTTCGGAAAAACCCTCCTACTTTGTATGTCTGATACAAATATTGATGAAAATGCGGCTGCTAGATACTCGATTCTCGTCAGTCACTAAATAAACAGTGAAGTTTGTCAAGGCTGATTGTCGAGTAAGGATATGTCAGATCAATTCTAAATATGCCTACTTATGGAATTTGTGAACTGGAACATGACTGTCAACTCTTTTTTCCTTTTTTAAAGGAAAATGTATTTCCATACTTGTAGATGCATGATTTTTTTGGTCAAGCCCCTGATTATACTTTGAAGTGTATTTTATGGTATAAACAAACAATCACGACTTTAGCTTGGGAAATCCCAGAAAGGACTCGCGAATAACAAATATGGGACAGTGGAGGGTGTGGTTTATGTATGTTAGAATTCCTACTAGTTTACCTAAATCATTATAATTTCGTATGATCCGTCAATGTCAATATCCGTATTTTCCACATGTGTATATTATTTCGGCCTTCTATATTGGCTAAAAGAATTTAATGTCTTAATGAAGACTTCCTTGCAACATTAATTCCCTGAGAATAGTGGAGAGTATCATCGGAACTGATGGGCGAAGTAAGCAGCTCAGGAGTGCTGTGGCATTCCAGTTTCTAGCAACATGTTTGGATAAGAAGGTAACTACACATTTTTCCTTTCTCCATTTTTTGTTTACTCTACCTGGATCCAACTAGAAGAATAATCTCTATCGACTAATTTGAAAAGCGGCTCACACCTGACTTTGCTGTTGGAGAGATTCTAAGATTCCTAAAAATGAGATCTTATCTGAAAAAAAAAAAAAAAAAAATCATATTCAAGTGCTTGGAAATTCATGTTTTCCATTAATGTGCTTAGTTATTTGGCTTTCACACACAAAAACAAATAAAGCACTTTCATTTACTCCACCAACACACTCGTCTTTAACTTCAACAACTTTTAGTTTGTATTTTCAAACATTACCAACTTCTTTTTTCATCTAATTCTTTTTGAAGCGGATCTTTGAAAGATGATTACACGTTCTCATTTTTAACAGCAGAACCTATTACTGAATCTTATGTTCCTCATTTTCAGGCAAATGATGCTGAGGAAATCCTGAGATTACTAACCTCGATAAACGTAAAGGACAAGGACTGTGACCTCTTCCAAATGTATATATATCTGAACCTGGCTGAGAACTGGCTTCTCTTTGAGCCCACATTAAAAGATAAAGCAGAGATAAGCAAGTTATGGAATATTTGTCTCAGGAGCTGTTCTTGTGGGATTTCCATCACCGATTTGAGGTCTTATGCTTCTAATGTACGTAAGCCAAAGAAAAAAAAAGTTGCACGTTTTCATACACTCATATTTCAGCTATAAATGGGTTTTTTAGCAACTACCAACTGGGGGCTTTGTCACTTTAATCGAGTTGTTCTGCGTGCTACTTGTAAAATCATCTTTGTGTATTCATTTTCTTCACCAAAAGAAGAAAAAAGAATATGAAATAAAAGAAAAACACGAAAAAACTGTAAATAATATAGTAAACATGACATGGCCACGTAGAACTACCCTGAAATATGCTTTGTGCAGGTTCGCAGCAAGGCTTCATATCTTCTACAAGGCAGCACGAGCAAGTGAATCGTATATGGTATGTCTGTAGAATCTTACTTGTTGTACCAAAAAACTTTTGATTCTGAATTTGAGAATGAAAAGAAAATTACAACGATGGTTTCAGCTTTTTACTGGAAATGAAACATTTTTAGGATTCCAAAATACCAGTTTTGTTTAATGTTCCATAATTTAATTTGAATATGAAAAGAAGCCTGTCTTGCATCCGATTTTAATTAAATACGACTTCGAAACTTTACCAACTCACTTCACGAACTCTCCTTGATAACTAATCTAGTTGCTAATGACATTTTCAAGGCAGGAAAAAATGGAGGACTAATTCAGACAATCCACTAAAACTGATGCAAGAATTTCAATGCACCTCAAATCATCTGCTGATACCTTTTGCTGTTAAGTTGTCATTTGTTACAAAGTGCAACTGTTTAATATGAGACCTTGGTGTTCCTTTTTTATTTTTTGTTGTTGTTGTTGTTGTTGTTAGGTTTGATTGGAAATGTGTATATGTATTAGCTTTATTCAGACACGTCATCACCATCTCAAGTTCTCAGCAGCTCCTCTCTCCAATTTCTTTCATTTGTTTTGCTAGGAGTGTTGTGAAACAAAACCAATTTTATATTTCACCCAAAATTAGCAGCTTAATAAATAGATTTTAAATTTTTATTTTAGATTTATTGGTCTACATAAAAGAGTTGATAATTGTTTTTTTCGTATGAATTTTTATTATATCTTGAGCGGTATACTCAATTGGTCAAAGGAGCCATCTTTGATGGGACCACTCGACTATTATTAGGCTACAAGTGCTTTTGCAGTATAATCTTGACGTAACTTTACCCCATTAAAGACTGACGGACCGAAAAATTAATTAAAGCTATACAGTCAAATATCATCTAAGCATAATGTTGAGATGCCTATAAGTCTATTAATTGCAGTTAGTTTTCTCTATCAATCAAAGAAAAAAATCATAATTGTCAGTCATGAACATGATGTCAATACAAAGCCATGTAACCTGAAATAAAATTTCCGAACTATCTTCCTGAATTTCAAAATGGTATTTCCGACCATTATCCGTACTCTATCATAGAATTTGTTTTGCTATATAGTCAGAGTGGAATAAAAAATAAATTTCATCTTTAACCGTTTACATTTTACTCCACATAAAATATTTTTTTTATTCTCTTTGTTTTAAATTATTTTAATATCAAAGTATAATAAATTAGATATATTATTTTACCCATATTTAATTATTTGAATTATCATCATAGAATAATAAAAATAAAAATATAAACAAATATAATAATCTAAAACATATATCTAGTATTTACTAAAGTATTAACTAATTTTGTAAAAAAAAAAAATCGGTTTATAATCAAACTGGAAGGTTATATTATAATTTTTTGGTATTTATATATATACACATTGTCAAATAAAATATATTTATTAGTAATTTATAAATTTAATAGTAATTATTAATGTATTATTTATCAAAATTATGCACTAAATACATAATACAAAAAAATAAAAAATTATTCATAAGTTATATAATAAATTTAATAGTATTTATTAATATATTCTTTGTCAAAAGTTATGCACTAATATACATAATACAAAAAAAAAAATAATATAGCAATTGAGCTGTATTACTCATGTTGACATATATTGTTGTTGGGAAGGGTTTAAGGATAAATTCCACGCGACTTCATCCCAAAATTGAATCCAGCGGGCTGGAGTCGCTCTAAATCAAAATTACTTATTTTAGTTGGTGCAATTCGATATATTAATAATTTTATTTTTATAAAGAATTATAATTAGTTTTAATGTGATAGAATAAAATAATAATTGAGTGGCTATAAATATGTGACTGAATATATATTAAATTATACCAGTCACCTTTTCTAAAGGTGTTCGAACATAGAAAACGAATTTTACTTGCAGTTTCAGTTCATTAGTAATAATTAATTGGAGTAGACAGAGAGAAGAAATTTATTTGACTTAAGATTAGAAGTTCAAGTACTATGGAGAATAAATAAATTTACTTTTTATCTATGAAATCATTTGAACATTTTTTGAGGATAAGAGTTGTCTTTACCCCCGCATTTCCCGCTGATATGTAAATTCCTGCGGCTGCCCAATTAATCAATATATTATACATACATACATATACCTACCCACCTTTCTTTGTACACAAAATTGCATCTTATTTTGTTACAACATTAATTACTGGAGATAAAATACAGATAACATATTTAATAGTTGTCTTGTCTGTAGGTTTGGCAGTTTACGTAGGCTGTTGGCCTTTTCTGTCTTTTAGTCCAACACTCCAAAGCCACTGAGGAAATACTTATATTGAAGCAGCACAATATTTTTATTCTGAATTTATATTCTTTTGAAGGGGAGAAGATAGTGGCGCATGTGGCACTTTGAATTCGTTGATCGGGGTCGAGATGCAAATTCACGTTACATCTCAGTTAGGACCCAATTATATAGTTTATGAGAAAATTGTAAATTTGGTCCTAGAATTTTTGTTATTTTCCACATTTAGTTTTGGGTACGTCAATTATGGTCATTTTTTAATTTTCGTTGCCAAAATGGTCCCATGTCCGTCAAGATTGATGGGGCTAATGTGAGGACGTTAGATATTGGACCAATTTTGCAATTTTTGGGACCAATTTTGTAAATTTTTCAAAAAAAAAAGAAAATGAGTTCTTCAAGTTCTTCAAGTCTCTCTCATTCAATCAAAGCCAAAATGACATAATAAAATTAATTTACTATGAATATGTTGCGAGAAATAAATATTAAAAATAATTTTATTAAAATAAACATCGGGAGGAAAAGTAAGGACGTTGATAAATTTTAATTTGGGGTGAAAAAGTAAACGATATAATTGTTAATTGAGTGGTATTTATTTTATTTTCTAATATTTTTACCGTCATTACTTAAAAATATTGGCAATTATTTGAATATTATTTAAATTAAAGAATAATTAAAAATAATATTATTTTAATTAAATAAAGCAAATCAAAAGACATAATCCAATTTATCAAAATAAGAAAAAATGTGAGTAGCTTACAATAATACTAATCCGTCTACATTTTTAAATATTAGTATAATGTGATAATTTATATATATCCTTACAAACTTTATAGAATAATACGAATTAAAAAAAAAACCCAATTTAAACTATTTTTTTTATTATTTTCTATTTTTATTTTAATAATTTTTTATTTATTAACTTGATTTTGACAACTATAAATTGAAAAATCTATTTATTTATGCAAATTACATCTACGTAAAAAAATTCAATTTTAAGCATAATAAAACAAAATTTGGCATTAAATTAAGCGAAAAATAGACATTTACTCCCATTTATTTATAGTAAAATATAGCATATATATATATATATATTTTGCATCTCATTTATCATGAACTAATTAATAAAATTATTTTATACACCTTTTGTTAAGTTACCCAATTAAATAATCATTTTATGTAAAAAATCAAGTTAAACTTTAATTTACAATAAAAAAATGTGAAAGAATTGTATGTTAGTTATATTTATCTTTTATAACTTATTAAAAAATAAACTAAATGTATTGTTAGGAAGGAATGGTAATATACCTTTTTAATATTTACTAAAAACTTTTTAAAAAAATGTTTCCAATAAAAATAAATTTAAATAATTTTATCACTTACTCTTTGAGAAAATTGCAAATTTGGTCCCAAAACTTTTGCTGTTTCCCACATTTGGTCCCAGGCTATAAACGTTGACCGTTAAGTCTTGACGGTGTCAGACCGTTTTGGCAACAAAAATTCAAAAAGGACCATATTTGGCGTGCCTGGGACCAAATGTGAAAAACAATAAAAGTTCTGAGACCAAATTTACAATTTTCTCTATAGTTTAAATATACTCGTGCGACATGAGTATTAATTAAATTATTCTTGCATATTTTGTAACACAAACTAGCTATGTAAATGTAAAAAAATTACGACGTTAGTATCCGGTTTGTAATTATATATAATAATTTGTGGTGATCCAGTGTGATTTGATTGTTTGTCGATGCATAAAATGGAATTTTTAAAAGTATAAAATTTTTTACTAATTAAATATTTATATTAAAGTTAATATATTTTGTATTATCATTTTATCATATATATATATATAACATGTCAAACTAATCATCTATCAATAAGTTTGATTTGATATTATACCATATGTATATAAATTAACAAATAATAATGTTTAACTTCATAATAAAAATTAAATTATCTATCAATATTAATTGAAAAATAATAAAACCATTTATCAATTAAAATAATTTTAATATCAAGCTTATTATATGTCATGAGTTATAAAAGTTATTATAATGTAAGAAAAATTAGTTGTATAAGTAACTAGAGTTATTTAAAACAGTATTTAAAATAAAATTTAAAACATAAACTTTTCTTTTCTTCAAATAAAAAAAAATGGAGTATAAATCTTGCAAAATGCAAATTATTATGAGCAATGTCTTAAGTACGTTAAGAAAAAATTAAATTAAACAACTTGCTGACATAAGCTTGTTCAATAGCGTTTCCCTATTTATTGATTTAAAAAAATAATTAATTTTATTCTTATATTACTATTGAATATAAAAAAAAAAAACTATAATTAATATCATAATAATTAAAATATTGCAAGTATATACACATATGAACATTAACTTTAGGAATTTTAGATTATACATTAAAGAAACTTGATAAAAATATAAAATTATAAAAAACTTTCAAAAAATCAGTTTCAACCAATCGTTTAATTAGTACTTTTCGAGTATTTTTGGTAATAAAAGCAATATACTTCCTCATGTTCATAATAATGTGTTGTTTCAAGAAGTTGCACAATAATTAGAAATATTTTCTTGCCAATAAGAACTCTATTTAATGAAAATTAATAACATGAAAATTAAGAGTGGATATGAAAAAGTGTAGTCTATTTATTAGCTAAGTGAAAGTAATAATGAAAAATATGTATAAAAGATCAAAACGTCATTTATTTAAATTTGGTTAATGTATAAATAAAATACCTGTTTAAAAACATTAATTTAGATTCATTTTATGTCTTTGTATGGAGTCAAAAAACTATGAGACCCCAGCCCTATATAATACACAGAACAAACTGTGCGCCAAAAGTTTTGTCCATAAAAGGGTCGTAAAATCACTCACTCGCACTTCCTCCCTTTTAATAGTTATTACATATTTTTTCGGTCCAAATGGACAGTCATACTGCTCTCCTCCTTAACTGGGCTTACAATTCCTACCAAGACAAGGTAAGCACCAAATTTCCTTGCTTTTACCTTCAATTTCTTTGTTAATTGTCTTAATTCATTTGTATTATCAGTTTTTTTCCCAAGCATTAATTTGCATTTATTGATATTTTTGTTGGGACAATAAAAAAAATACAGCAATCTGTGGGTGTGGCTATGGAACTGGAGAATATGAGGCTGAAGGCCCAAGAAGAGGTCCAGTCCAGAGATTTGGAGATAGCCCAACTAAAAGCCCTGCTCAGCAGAGTACTCAAAGAGAGGGACGAGGCACAAATGGCCTGCCAGAAAGCGTGTCTCCAAATAGCGCTTCTCCACAAGCAGCTGCAGGACACAAAGCGCCGCCGTCTGCCGGCGCCACACTCCGGCGTCTCCGGCGTCGAGGACTTAGAACCGAGCGGAAAAATCGACCGTTCCCTCACCAACGCCCTCTCCTCCTCGGACTGCGACGACAGCATAGGTTCGTCGCCGCCGCGGAGGCCGGCGTCCGAGGCGGACCTACCGGTGGTGCCGGCCAAGGCGCTACCGGAGAAGGGGAGGCTGTTGCAGGCGGTGATGAGGGCCGGGCCGCTGCTCCAGACCCTCCTCATCGCCGGTGGTCCTCTCCCGGAGTGGCGCCACCCGCCGCCGCCGATGGACTCGCACCAGATCCCGCCGCCGCCGCTTCTTGTTCCGCCGCCGGCGGACGGCGGGAGAATAAGTAGGAAGAGAGCTCACCACTGACCCATGAGGACCACGTCAACTTTTTTCTCCACCCTTTCTTTTTTTTAGTTTTTTTTATATATATATTTTTTGTCTTGAAGTTTAATTTGTATGGTTATTTAATTTAGTCAAGAATAGTGAGGTGTGTACAGTTTGAACTTGATGTGAAGATCCAAATTTGAGGTTTTTGTAGTAATTAGCCAGCATATATTGGTTGGTTGGTGGGTCTCTTTCCTCACATAATTATTAATTGGGTCCTTGTTTTTCCCTTTTGCGGGTCTCTTCTACTTTGCCTCGTCAAAAGGGAATTAGAATATTTATATTTTTAATTACTTTTTATTTTTTCTGGAACAAGTTTTCAACATGCAATCTCCGAGATAGCAACTTATTTAGGGGGTGATTGGATATGAATTCACCTAGTAAAAAACTGGTTATTTTTTAACTATAGTTAAGTTTGAAAAAAGGTGGTATGGTTAGTTGTTAGTGGATATATTAAAATAATGTTTAAAGTAAAATAATTAAAGTTGATTTGATGTAAAAGTAGGAGAAAATGATTGGAAGTGATGGTTAGTTAAAATTATGTGAGTAGATGAATAGTGAATTAAAGTTGATGTGATGTGTAAGAATGATTTGGTGATATTATTTAATTATATTGATAATATTGGAGATAGTGGAGTTGAGTTAAATTTGAGTTTTGATTGGGTTTTTACTGTAGAAATGATAGACAATCGCCCCCTTAAAAATTACAAAAGAAAGGTATATTTGAAAATATATCATATACAATTTATTTAACAAAATTAACAAATAAAATTAACAAATTAATTATTTATCTAAGTAATTTTGTTTTTTTTTAAGCTTGACTATTGATTGATGTTTGGCAATATGAAGTTCTATATGACATTTTGAAAAGAATATGAAGAAATGGAGAATTTAGTTTTCTTAGGGAAAAATGAATAGTTTGTTTGGAGTGTATATATATAAACAAAATGTTAGTTGACTAATAGTCCTTGATAAAAAAAAAAATTGAATAATATAATAGATCCTCAATTGGAAGTAAATGAAAATGGAAATCTCAAATGGGAAAGTGTACACTTTTTTATTTTTTTTTTTCAAACGGAAATTATATTAATAACATAAAAATTCAAGAGTACATCCGAAGTGTCAAGTGACACAATAGAACCAGAAGACTGCACCAACCCCTTTGTCAACACACACAATGATCTTCAAACTCCATCAAGGAGGCGAACAACCACAAAGCAAAACTCCAAAAAAGAGACACAACTCCATAAAGGAGAGAAAAGCAGACACAACTGCATTAGACGAAAGCAGACACAGCTGCACAAAACGAAACAAAACAACAAAATTAAAAATCAAAAGCAACTCACACCTAATAAACAAATAAAGAAGATAAGACCTCCCCTACACCTAACAAACTCAACGCTCGGCCATTCGAGACTGCACACGAGCCTCATCCACTAGCAAAGAGACCCAACGAAGCCACAAATCAGAAACTCGAGCCCAGAAACTACGGTCACTGAAGCTGCCTAATCGAATTTGAAGAAGAGTCTGCTCTCAAATCAAATTTGGCCTCCGAAAACCATCCACACCAGAGGAGGAGAGAGAGAACCATCGCGAGGACACCAACACGCCTAGCCGAAGTGCTCGAAAGAAGAATCGAATGGACGACAAGTTGCACCCAATGACCCCAGAACTTGATAAACACAACCCCAGACGAAGCGACGATCGATACCTCCCCAAGGCTATGGTATGAACACTAACGGCCAACGGTCTCGACCTTGGCTGGGAAGATGGCTGGGCGACGAAAACAACTCAGGCCCGGCAGGAGCGAGTGTTCCACGTCCTCTCCCACAAGCCTCGGAAGAGACGGAAAAATACTAGTCCAGGGGCGGCCTACTTATTTCTACAAAACAAATATAATACATCATGATAAAATATAAATACAAAATAAACATTCATAGAAATTCTTATGAGTTTTCATAGTTTGGTATGACTCTACAATAAGGTTTTTACATTTTCTTTGGGCCTAACAATATTAGAATTCACCTCAAGTATATTTGGAACAAAAGTAGCTAATTTTGAAATATTTTCACATGCATTTTTTTTTCTCAATTCTATTTATAAAAATATTTTTCTCCATAATTTGATACAAAAAAATAAATTATAATGCATAAAATGTTTTATCTAATATATCAAACTTTTAAGAGCCCTACAAGTCAATCACACACAAATTTAAATATGTTAATGTCCTTTTAAGAAACAACATTCAATTAACTACAAGTTTAAATTTTTAATTTTTATATCAAATTTAATAAAAAAATAACTAGATTTACTTTCACCAAAATAAACAAGAACAATTATTTTTTTCCCATTATCTCTTTTTTTTTTCTCTTATTTGTGTTCCTATTTTTTTTATTAATTTTTATTTACTAATTGAGTATTAAATTATTGATTGAGTAGGGTATATAAGATAGTTTTTTTT